TCCTTACGTATAAAGATAATATTTCGTCAGTTAACTATATTTTCGGTCGTAAACCCAATAACACCTAACGAGGTTTAGGTTAGTCCTAGATCCACACATTAAGTTAATAGTTATCCTCATAACAAAAGTACAAAGTAATAAATTAATTTATTAAACATTCCAACTAATATTTTCAACGAAAGCAGCACAAAATAACAACTTTCCTCACGTATGGATCATGTAAAGAGTAATTTTCTTAATTTATATACCAAGCTAAAAAACAGTACAATAATAAATGTTATTAGTAGACATAACTTCCTGGTGTTTAGTAGACTTAATAATAGAGATGTTTTAACTCAGGTGCCCAGTAAATATGACTACTGGAATGTTTTAACTCAAATTGTTAATAGATAGCTACTGGGGAGTTTTATTCTTTTGTCTTATAACAAAGTCACATTGGTCCATCTGTTGTGTCCACAAGGGGGAATCGATCTCCGGATTTTAGCGTTGTACGTCCTTAAAATTACCGCTGTCCCACCGGAGGATCGGAGTGTTCTAACTTATAGACTTAGTAGGCATAACAATCGTAATAACATAACGTTTTGGGACAACATGGGACCTATTGGTCCATCTCAGCTGTTCCATCCTTTAAACTAAATTAAAATAATTTAAAAAAAATCGTAAAGACAGCTCTTATCATTCATATACTTATCATTCATATACTTTTCAAGCTTTTTCTTAAACTCTCTTAAATTTACTGTCTCTATAACATCCGAAGGAAATCCCATTCCAAAGGCCAACCACCCTGTTAGAAAAATTAAATTGTCTTAACTGAAGATGACTCCTATCTTGCCAAAATTTATACTTGTGTCCCTTGGTCCTACTATTCTCACTGTTAAATATAAAAAAGATGATACGTCAACACTATCAATTCCCTTTACAATCCTAAACACCTCAATCAAATTCATCTTTCTTCAAGAGAAAACGATTTGAGATATTTTAGCCTCTCCCAGGCACCATTCTAGTAACCCTTCTCTGAACCATTTCCAATAATTCAATGTCTTTCCTAAGGTAAGGAGCCTAAGACTGAACACAATATTCCAAATGTGTCCTAACAAGTGACCTGTACAATGAAATTATAACCACTTTAAACTTGTATTCAATATTTTTGTAGATACAGCCTAAAATCCTATTTGCCCTACCACTAGCAACAGCGTACTGCTTGGATGGCTTAAGAGACGATTGACTATTACACCAAGATCCCTTTCCTTCATAACACTGTTAAGGTTATTCACATCCGAATTATACTTATAATTTAAATTATAACCCACATGCATTATCTTGCATTTATTATAATTAAAACCTATCTACCATTTATTTACCCAACTCACTAAATGATCTAAATCCTTTTGTAAATCAGCAGCATCGTCATCACAGATAGCAACATCCAAGACCTTAAGTAAATTTAAGTAATTTATTGACTATTCCTTCATCTATATCACTGACGTAAATATAAAAGAGCTAAGGTCCAAAGACCGAGCTTTGAGGTACCCCACTTGTGGCATTAATCCAGTCTGACTGAGCTCCATTTGTAAAACCCTCTAC